AAACGGGAGGCTTCCAACTGCCCATAGTGTGAAAACGTTTAATCAATCGTCCATATTAACCCCCCCCCCTTTCCGGAAAACAGAAAAGAACAATAAATTTAAGATACTAAAAGAATGCGAAGATAAATTTATTTTCTTAATCAGGCGTGTGTCTTAGACACTTTTATAATAAACATGATAATATTATATTATTTTAAAAAGCGTTAGGGGATGAGAAGTAGTCGTTCGTACTGGTGATTGTCTTAGACAGGTGGCCGTTAGAGCAGGTCTGACTGTATATCTTAAGCCAAAAACTTCCTAGCTACTGAATTTTCTCTCTAAGGCCTACAAATGGCTGCTTGCACTGTGTGCTTCTCAGGAAGTTGAGTATGTTTCAGAATGCTCTCAGGTCTTCTGGGGTAATAGTATAGATTGTGAAGCACATAGAGCTTGCTGTTGAGCGCAGATTTGCGCTATACAAATGCTATCTATTATTATTAAGGCTTTTATTTTAACGAACAGCGAACAAAGTATCCCAACTCTCCAAATACACACATAAGCGGGTAGTCGATGAATTTTGTGCCTTCTGAACTGATCAATGCTTTTATAACAGTTTTGATAACGAGCTGCATTTTTGCATTCCAATATATTTGTCGGTTATCACGTCGACTTGCTTCAATTCTAAGTCTAAATCGTTGTAGAAATGTACACCCTTTATCTTGCATTGTTTTATATAATAATATATAGCATTACATTGGCATCCGTGACGTCAGATGGATGATCGGAGTGACTGGTAGGTCCTACTTCCTATCTGTTCCTCAGTTGTATGTGATCGGTCTGATTACCCCCCACCCCCCACCCCGAAAAACAAACAAACAAACAAACACATCTCTGTTCTTAAGGGAATGTCTTGCTGTGGTATTAGCCTCTTTAACTAACAAGAAGTAAGCACACACCTTCTACTTTCCTTACTAACGACTATACTAGAACAGACGACACTATAAAAGAACGGCGACGGAGCCCTGAACGATGCTGAATAATCTTCTAAACTCTGGTGAGTTTTTGGGTTTTGGATTTTTTGAATATCGTTGACTAATCTATAAGATAAAGCGGTCATTGCTTTAGGGATTAGTACACGCCAGTCTGGATAAGAACACACTCCACTTTTGTTTCAGCTAGATTTTAGGTTGTCTTTTTTTTCAAACAGAAAGTCCCATCCCGCCTGTCACAACAATGAATGAGTCATTCATTATACCACCAGCTTATTCTGACAACCGAGGATGACGAAAAAAAAATTCTGCGTAATAATCCACGAAATCCGCTGTCAGGTTGTATGATGGGAGCCGTAACACCTTGACCACATGCAGTAATCATAACTCAATACCATTATGTAGCTCACTCCTAGCTCTCGTGCACGGACAGATAATTCCACAGACAGATCGCCGGTAACCTGTCCTGTGTGGGTTAACTCTCACGCTCGAGAAAGGCTCAGAGCACGTGAATCTTCCATCGAGGCCGGATACAAAAGAACGTGGGAAATCGAGACTTGGCGGCTTGTGCAAAAATTCCTCAATAAATCAAGAGAAATCATAGAGCATGAAAATCGCAGCTGGGAAATATGTCCACTTCCCTGGAGGTTTAATTATTGCGTTGACAGAGAGCCACTGTAGGACCGTCGGGAATTGCCGGACTGTGGCTATTATTTCTGGAGACCACATGCAGCGCTGACCCAATCATTGTCACAGGTCGCACGGTGCAATAAAACCACGACAACTGGACCTGCATAACCCAATCTAGGGAGCGGGGAGGGGGGAGGAAGGGAGGGGGGAATTAACAATTCACGGGATGGGAATGATGAATGGGAGTTATGACTTAATAAGTCATCTCAGTCGGACTTTAACTGCAGACCTGAACAAAAATGTCCCAAGTTTGGTGTAATTCATGAGACCATTAATGTTTTTTTCTCAATCGACACAACAACCACAGAACCACAGTCTAGTTTATTTGGCTACACTTGCTTCAATGAATATAGCCTACTTACTAGAGAGGCAGTACCAATGTTTACAACAGCAGTGGTGTACTTGTTTGTCTATTAATCAGAACTATTTTATAGGCAAAACTGAGAAGAAACGTTCTGTCAGCAGCGGGCAAAAAATAATAATTTTGTCCGATTACCTGCAGACTAATGACAATAGTATTAGTAACATATCGTTACCGCAGAATTACAAAGTTCTGTCTGATACGTTTGCAGTTTTGAGTTACTAAAACCTTGGGGTCAGAACTCAAATGCTCATCATGCTCTATCAAAATCGTCCGAATATTCAGAGTCGTTATCAAGATATTCATAAATTGCATTCGAAAAAGCTTAAATATTGTGAAGCTAAAAAATTTTTACGTTAAATTTCTCAAAACTAGGTACTGGGCAGAAGGAACATAGTAATTCTGAGGTAGCGATTTGTTACGGCATATTTCGAACCATCGTGCACACATTATGAAGGTGGTTCGAAATGTAAAGGAAGTTGTAAAGTATTTCAGAAACGTTTAATGTAATGGACCTAAAATGTTTAGTCTCTTAAAATATACTTCTCGACTTTGAAGCTGAATTTCAGCCCCCAAAGCCACTTCTGGAAGGCAAGGTGACAGTCAGCTTCCGGCATGTTATGTAGCTCTGAAATTACAAAGCTTACCTTTCGGAATAGGAAATAACCTTAAGTCACAGCTAAGCCAGGACTGCAGGGTGGATGTGGCACAACCCAATAAAGATGGTGGGTTTAACTCAAAATCAGAGAAATCGAGCCATTGGCGCGCTCCTCGCGTTTCTGCTGTTGCCAGGAAATTCACGTTAACAGAAAATGGGTTAACAATAGTATTTATAACCTCTTTGGTTATTGATAGATGGATGGATGGATGGATGGATGGATGGATGGATGAATAGATGGAAGGATGGATTGATGGATGGATAGATAGAAAGACGTGATCTAAACGATGAAGACAGACAGTAAGAAGGAGACTGAGAGAGAGAGAGAGAGATATATTGCATAAGAAGAATATACTACATTTTTAAAAACGACATTCTTTGGTTAACAGAAAACTGACGTTGACTGTCGTGGCAGAGTCACAGCTATCCTTGGGTGGCCTAAATGATCTAAATTGTATTGGAGAAAATATTAATTTAAGAAAATACGATAAAGAATGGCAATGAAGGCTAATAGGGCACAAAGAAGTACTGTGCTGAGTCATAATAATAGATTGCCTTTGTAAACCACAAATTCCCGATAAACAGCAAGGTCTATGCTTTTTACAACCTATATTATTACCCTAGCAGACCTGATAGCATTCTGAATAAAATATCGCAACGTCCTGGGAAGCATACAGTGCGTCAAGAGAAGAATATTTCATTATTGCTACGTTTTTACCATATTCAGTGTTTCTAAACATAACATAACAACAATAAACGCAGGCCAATAGGAACACTGAAAAAACAGCTTCTCACCCCCCTCCCCACAGAAAGAACAACTGCCAAACAGCCGAACAACCAAACAGCAGCGACAGCAATCCCACATGACTAGAACAGGTCAACCTGACGCTCTCCCCACTCGGCAATTTGCTGACCCTGCCCGAAAGTTAAGGAATACGGGCAACTATAATTAAACTAGCTGGCCCCCCTTTCGATGAAAGGATTGATCGGTGCATTAACATGAACTGAAAATCATTGGCCCACTGTATTTCCACTCTACTGGAAAGGAGCAATAAATCCTGAGAAAAAATTGATACATAATGTGTTTCCAGTTGCCAAATAATATTAATAGATGTATAGATTGATTCTCTATTCTTCTCTCGTGGTTGTACACTCTAGAATGTAAAAGGTGTGCGCACGGTTAGTGAACAGAAACCTCACTTGTTTATAATGGCGTCTTAGAAGACGAACTTTCCCAAGATTAGATCTAAACGAAACTAATGAAAAACTGAAAATTAAACTACAGTGACTTCAAACTCATCAATAAATCTCTGCACCCTTTGAATGATTCTGAACCACTATTAATTTCTTTCAAATTCGAAAGTTAAGGGGTTGGGAAGTTTTAGGCTGCCAAAGTGATGAACTTTCACAAGTATAATATGTATAGATATTCACTTTCGTCGGTCAAGTTAAAAAAGAAACACAGCTCATTTATTTAATGGCCTTAGTATAGGCTTTCTGTTTCTGTTGGTCATACAACTTTTAGACCCCCAGGCAAAGACCCGAGGAGATTAAGCGGAGTAATTAAATAGGCTGTTGGTCAAACAACTTTAGACACGCATTTTCGAGAAGATTAAACAGGGTGATTTGTCTTTAGCCCGTTGTAACTGCAACGAGACGAACGAGAACAAGCTATGAATATTTAACTCTATCATGCCATTTGCCTCTGGTATGGGCAAGGGTGTCCAAGTAGAGAACCGTATTAACTCTTTGGGAACGAAGTGGCTTGGATCGATAACAGCATAACAACAGAAGGAAGTGAACTCATAATAATGTGCAATCAACTGTGAGAGCAACGGCAATGTTTCGGCACATTTCAAATCATCATGCACAACTCAGGAACACAATTTTGTTTTGTTGCAAGCCCTTTAAGGTTTCAGAGAGCTGAATCGGAAAAGTAAAGAAAAAGTAAAGTAAAAGTAAAGTAAAAGTAAAGTAAGGTTTCCGAGAAAGAAAATACTTGTGGGCCGGACTGAAACTGCTCGTATGCCAGATTTTGTCCACGGGCTGTAGTTTACCCATGCCTTCTCTATAGGTTAGCCAAAAGTGCATTAGTAATGTCGGTGGCCTATTTTTAAAAATTATTAAGTCCTGCAAAACTGAAAGTGCTTATTAATGTGTCCCGCACACTCTTATGACTGTATTCAGTTGCAAGGGCAATAAAACACTTGCCACATTTTTTAAAGAGTGCAATTTAAATCAGTGACACATTGCCACGTATGATGATTCTCTTCCGACTCTCACTTGTAGGTTAGGCTTAGGATAGTCCTTCCTTCAACAACAACAATGTTGACGACTGACCAGGATGTTGACAAGTGCCGTTACCTTCGCTCTCTGGATCTCCACACTTACGGTAATTCGCTTATTGATGTTTATACGTTGTCCTGTCAAAAGTATAGGCATATAATGATGTAGCCTATTTGAACTGTTGAATTGTTGTATGTTTAATGAACCGGTATGCAGAAAGCTTTGATTTAAATCTTATTTTGGGGGGGAGCCCCTAGAGCCAACAGTAAGTGGGTAACGCTATAGAAGTAGTAATTGATCATTGTTTCATTTACATTAATATTATTATTATTATTATTATTGTTATTATTATTATTATTATTATTATTATTATTATTATTATTATTATTATTATTATTATTGTTATTATCATTATTATTATAATACATAAGCTGGTTGTCTATTTTATTTTGTAATCGTAAGCCATAGTAAAGACAAATGTCAGCCACGTGCTTAAACATTGATATTGTGCATTAAACTATCTTTAACGATCAAACGCATAAATGCAGAGCTTTATTCATACAGTGTTTGACAGAAATTCTTGTTGTATGACTGGCTTGCGTACGTATTGTCAGGTCTTAGGCTTGAGGATATTGTGACACTGGTTCAGCTATGTTTAAGTCAATAGAAATACATTGATATGTTAACAGTCATTTGTTAGGCAGCGTGGTGGAATCAGGCTCTCGTGAAAATAATCAAAGTGAAGAAACTTGCATTTTTCCGCAGGTTAGTGAATTTTAATCAAATTTTTGTTTTTTGGCTCAACACCTTTCCTGCCCATTAAAGAACTCATTTCTGTGTGGATTTTTCTGAAAAACGTTGATTAAAGGCTCAAAAAGTGTAAATTTTCAGTTACCTCGGACTCTCAAGCTAAGGAAATAACTCATCTTTGGTGGTCATTTTCTCACTAATTTTACCTCTGAAAACAGGTGACCCCCGCCTCATTCATTCGTAAATATGTCGACTTGTATTGGAGATATTTCTTTCCTCTAAATAAAGACAATTGAACAAGCTTTAAGATGATACCAATAACTCCACATGCCCAAAAATGACGAGAGCCTGATTCCACCACGATGCCTCACATTTCGTGCTGGAGAAACGGGAACATCAGATCAGATCAGACAGATACAGCAGAGGGAAATAGAGACAAAAGACCTATCTACCTACCAGTAGCACATTTCAACCATCCACAGGATACTTTTTAAGGTGTGCTATCTAAAATAAAAACGTGTTACGATTCTTACTTTAAATTGCAACTTACGTCTCTGACATGTATTATCATAAATATAGTGTTGAAAGTACGTTGAAGTAATTCAAAACTGTTTTTTTTTTAAAGCAGCAGATCATTGTTAATCTTTTATTTTAAAAATATGAATACAATTATTGTTTCCTTTTTTTCAGCTCCACAGTTCATTTGTTACTTCGTGCAGTGCCAGCAAAAGAACACCCTGTTCCGGAAATGTCCGTCCTGTTATTGTGCCAATAAAAAAGATACCGTTACAAGTGCTGAGAAAAAAGTATACGGGACACAAATCCCGGGTGAAGCAATTTGTGTCAGCGTTTGAGGACACCAAGCCGTCTGACCACCACACATGCGGGAAGCGCCCTCTGCTCACGTCACGCATTATTGGCGGTAAATCTACCCAAAGGAGCAGCTGGCCCTGGATGGTTAGGGTTATTCTCAGGTGTGTTGTTTATTCTTTATTCTTTAAGCAAGCAGCAAATTTCTGAGAAACCTTATTTTTTTCCGACACAACTTTTTAACAAAAATTCTTTAAGCAAGCAGCAAATTTCTGAGAAACGTTACCAGGATGGGATACGAATTTTCTTGTGGGCCCATTTCTCGTTCCATTGGTTATATATAATATATAATTTCATCTTTTTTAGGGAGGGGTTGGTGAGAAGGGAGTTGTTGTTCTGTTTTCTGTCGTTGTTGTTTTTATGTCTATGATATCCATTTTTCAAAACAACCTGCAAAAAGTTCGATTTCTTCATATAGCTGGTGGTATGTTTTAACCGTGTAAATGAAAAAAAAATAGGTGATACATTCTAGCAGCTCTCTCTAATATTTGACATTCTGTGACCAGTACTAGGATAAATCGTTGACCCGGTATCTGATGGCCATTACTGTGAACATATGATATGGTAAAGGTTTGACACACCTATCAACATTATTAGGTTATTTACGAGAAGGGGTGGGATGGGGCGCTATACTTGTCCGTGTGGAAATTTAGCTGTACTACGTGAAATATCCCAAAGTGTCAAGTCATTAATTGAATAACTAGAATTGTTGATAAGATGACCTCTATGTGTCGACAAAGATATCAAATAAAACCCAAACTATCCCAAACTACAGAACAAGACTTTTTTCCAGTATTGTCTATGAAACCCCCGGTTTTGTTTAATATCCTCCAAGAGCAGGGCATTGGTATGGCACACGTTGGTATCGGGGTTCTAATCTGGATCGTGGGGGTTATGGGTTCGATTCTCAGCAGAATTATAATAAAATTTAAAATTTGGTCCCCTAATTTGCATCTTATTGTTTGGGGCACGTTTGAAAGACTATAGTAACATGTATCTTTTGATTGCGCCAAGTAGGGGTTCATTTCTTCATTTCTCACGTTTGAGTTCCAGTATAATAAACAATGAAAAAGTTTAAGCTACACAGACGAAGAAATCACCTTTGAATTCAAAGATCGTGAGTCTCTACTTTCCCAATCCATGGTAAAATGGTTGGTAGTCAACTGGCATGACATCTTACACAGTTTCGAGATGTTAGTATTTCTCCTTTGGTCATTTTCTTGGAGCTATTGTAGACAGACGTTGGGTCAACCAGCTCTAACTGTGGTTGGTTTAACCTCTTGGGAGAATTTGGTGGGGCTCACCTCCGTGACTCATCAGAATACACAACTAGACCGTCACCCAAGAGTCCTCAAATTTCCTGCCACGTTGGATGGATGCCGGGACACAAGTGTTCAAGTAATCCTAAAAGTCACACGGATTTCACAGGGTATAGATGGGGTTTGAGATGATGACTATTTACGTACGGGGCTAAAACATAGTTTTTCAACCCCCTAACCCTAACCCTAACCCTAACCCTAACCCTTGGGGTTGGGGTTGGGGTTGGGGTTAGGGTTGGGGTTGGAGTTGGGGTTAGGGTTAGGGTTAGGGTTAGGGTTAGGGTTAGGGTTAGGGTTAGAGAGGCATTTCAAGAACTCTCAAGATTTTAAACCAACAATACAATAGTTCCAAGAAAATGAAAAAAAGGAGAAACACTAACAACTCCAAACGGTGTAAGAGGTCATGCCAGTTGACTACCATCCATTTTAGCATGAATTGGGAAAGTAGATTCTCACGATTTTTGAATTCAAATGTGATTTTTTTGTCTATGTGGCTTATACTTTTTCAATGTGCATTATACAGGAGAAGCGTGAGAAATGAAGAAACGAATCCCTGCCGGGTGCAATCAAACGATACATGTTACTATAGTCTTTCGACCATGCCCCAGACAATAAGATGCAAATTAGGGGACCAAATTTTAAATCTTATTATAATTCGGCTGAGAATCAAACCCTATAACTCGCTCGCGGTCGTCCATGTAGATCTATACTATACTAGTTAGGTCAATGACAGCGACCAGTAGCACACATAGCTGCGCCTAACCGGCTACATGACGATTCGTGTCACGGCTGTGCGTGGAAGCGTCATGCTCGAACCGGCTTAGTGCAGAGAATCGGCCACCTGCATTGTGCTCCACATTTTTAGTCACCCTGTAACCGGCTACGTGCAAAATGAAACTATCGGTTGTAGAATTTTATAAAAATTAAATAGTATTTGGTACTAGCACATATATAACTTAACCTTTTCTTCTGAAATATGTAAGAGTACGCTACGCGTTTTTAAAGAAAATCAGTCATTTGTCCTTCCTGTAAAATTTGCCTTGCTGCATGTAGCCGGGTTGTGAATAACACCGACGATATAATGTATCACTTCTAAGTTATCGAGCTATCCTTGGCAATGTTCCCAGGACAGGAGGCAAACGGGAGCTTCAGTGTGGAGGTGTTCTGGTGTCCAGTAAGTGGGTACTGACCGCTGCCCACTGTGTCCGTGACCTCACTAGCGCCATCGCTGTCCTGGCTGATTGGGACTCCTTTGTGAAGGACGCCGGGGAGGTAGAACTCTTCCTAAGCTGTGCAATAAATTGGCCTGATATTTTGAACATGAGTACTTTACGAGGGGGTGGGACTCCTAAAAGCTTTCTCGGCTACTACGAACCCAAGAGAGCCAATATTTGTTGTGGGACATCATGTCTTATTTTTTTTTTTTGGGGGGGGGGTGTAGTTTAGTTTTAGCAGAGGTTTTACGGCGCTAGCAACTGCATAAGGTCATATGATTAGATCCCCTACAGCCAACAGATTAGAGAATATTAGAGGTGTTACAAGAGAGTAATAAGCATATAAAAGAAGAAGGGGAGATAAGGACGATAGATGTTTCATAGGAAAGAAGAAGCAAACTACACCAGAGCACCCGCCAACCACCCACATTTGGTGGTTGGAAATTAATTGCTTAAAAAAGGTAAATATAAATCTAGTTCAGTTGCTATGGAAACGGTAGCCATATTGGATTTTGTTTTCCAATTTTAATCCCGTTTTATTCCCTTATTCATCAACAAATACACTTTTAATTTGGTATGTACGTAGAAAAAGGACAAATCTATAGATCGTCCTGGGAATGCCTAGGAAATATAATACGTGGTAACCCCAATTTTCAAAATTTGACCACAAAACGGCCTTTTAGGTGTCCCACCATCCCTTAAGTGACATTATGGACTATAATATAATATACTTAGTAGAGTGATAGCACGGAAATATACGCTTTGTTTGATATGAAAATGAGAATGATATACACTTAGCCTGACACTGGGAATTTACAGGCATAAAGTGACCGTTATGCTCTCAGTTGTCTGTAGAAGAGACCGCTATAATATAAGATTAATACAGGGACTGGGGCGAAATAAAAGATCGTTATAATAATATAGTATATATAGTGACCGGGAAGAAATAAAAGACCGTTAGATCCTCAGCTGTCGGTAGAAGTGACTATATATACCTAATATATTTATGTGGTGAGTGGAACGAAATAAAAGTCCGTTATCTCATCAGCTGTCTGTACAAGTGAGCTCTGTAGTGAGCCACCCAGGGTACACAGATCTGGAGTACCAGGAGAACAACGACATCGCTCTCCTACAGCTCTCACATCACGTGACTTTCTCCAGCTCTGTAAGGGCAATATGTCTGCTGGACAGTCCGGCACTCATAAAGGTATGGGTATTTTTTCTGTTGTTTATTTGTTGTTGTTGTTGTTGTTGTTGTTGTTGTTGTTGTTGTTGTTGTTGTTATTGTTGTGGTTGTTGTTGTTATGCTTTATTTTGTTTAGTTTTTCTAGGGGTGTTTGAGTTTGTTTTAAAAAAATGTAATACTTTAAAAATCTATCCCTTTCTTTTTCTTTTCTTTTTTATAAAAACAAAATTCGA